TTGTAGAAGTGAAGTCCCAGTGCGGCAAATATCTGTATCACTCCATGTCCCGTTTTTCTAAGACCAACCAAATTTAAATGGAAGTCTTCGGTCAAAGATGAGCCTGTGGCCCGGCCCGGCAGGTGACTGATGGTGAGCGGGGGAATGGGAAGGGAAAGGGGGGGGGGGAGGGGTTTTTATGGATGGATGGATGTCGGACTCTAGTTTCGCTCATCGCCATAAACTGACACTCCCCACTTTAATAAACTAAGTAGTACAAATAATGATCTAGGCCGACAGTTGTTTTAAGCATTTGAAGCTCCTTATTTTTATTTTTCTAAGATAAAGGAAATTTGAATAGAAGTCATAGGATAATATGCTGACGCTTATTCTTCTACAACAGCTCTTCACCACTACCATGGTATGGTCCCAAAGTGAGTTCATTCATGTTCCAATGCCTCCTTGGAGTTACGCAATTTCTTGTATACTATGTAAGAACAATATCATTGCAAAACGAATTTAATTTTGAGGCCCGGTATGCGCATGTGAAGCTTTTTTAGACCACATTAAATATTGTGGGTTTTTCGGAAAGCATCTACCGAGCATCTACTCTGTTAATAATTCGTAATACTAGAAATACTACTTTCGATATTAATCTTAATCATAATCTCGTTAGTTATTTTCGGACTACTACTTAGGACATATACAGCGAAATATTAATCATAACCATACTGATATTGTTAGTTATTGTTCAAAACTATTAATTTATTACATCTTTAACACTGTGCGCCGTTTTGTTCTTATGTGATATGTGCGCCGTTTTGTTCTTATGTGATATCCTAAGTATTCAGAAAACCAGAAATATAATCAGCAGCTTGGTAAGACCAAAAACGCCCTAAAATACAACCTAAAACTACATTTATTTGTATTATAATCGACGTAATCTCAACGTAATCCACGTAATCTTTGCGTAATCCGCGTGATCCTTACATAATCTACGCAATCTACGTGATCCGTACGTAATCCATGTGATCCACGAAATCATAATCCAGGTGTGCGCGATTTTACCCTAGTGAATTACCCCTCGATATGGCCGAAAAATTCTGATGGAATAACTGACACGTTCTACCATTTCGAGCGGACATAATCAAATTTTTGTTCTAATTTGCTCGGAGCTTTGCACGTTTTGTACAGGTTTTGGGCTTCAATGCTTCATGAACAATGCAGACAACTACAAAAATTTCAAGTTCTAGTCGTAATTTGCACAGAGGGGCGACATTAATACTTCATGTGACCACAGCTAGGCCAGACGTAAGACTTCGCTAATGTACGCAAGGCCGCAAGCAAGGAAGGACGGACTACTGATTCTTATAGGGGAGGCAAACATTTTTAAAAGGTCTTAATCGGGTGGTAAGAAGAGGAATATCTCTTTTCCCCCGTCCCCCTTCAAAGTTTTCCAGTTTCTATTCAGTCCTTATGGCGGTGGTGCTTCTTCCGAATCATACTTCAGTTTCTATTCCGTAGTCACAAAACATTCTAGTACCCTTCAAAAATATTTAAAATGGCTTATTTCTGTAAATTGGGTCATTTTTCGTAAATTACTCCAAAAAAACAGTAATTTACCGAAATTTACCCAGGTTTTTCATTTTAAACCAAAATTACCG